AGCCTGGGGAGGAAAGAGGTGCTCAGGAGAGCCGTGTGGCGGGACAGGGAGAAAGTGGAGCTCCTGGACCGCGCTCCGAAATACACACCCACTGTGATGCCCCGGGACATGGCACAAAAGCAACAAAGTCACAGAAGTAGGTAAAGTCCCTTTAATTTCTCCAACTTGGCCCCCAATGTCCTGTTATCATCGGCTGGAGAAAAAAAACTCTCCCAAGAACAGTTTTTAAAGGGAAGAAATTTCGTCCGAACCCAAAGTACATATAAATTATAAATAAAAACCAACACAAACCACTTGCTGCAGCAATTAACGAGACAGGGCAGGATAAGGGATTGCAGACTTCCAAAAGATAACAAAACATACACAGCTGGGAGGATGCCAGAACCCAGATAAGACATGACAAACAAAGATAATGCATGCTTTGCTTCCAGCAAGGTGCTGTGTGCAAACACCCTTTATATCCTGTTTTCCCAGCTGCAGCTAATGAAGGGAATCAGGGCCTCTTTCTCCCCCATAACCCACGTTGCTCCCTTATCCGTTCCTCCCTGCGTGTCCTAGGATGAAGAGGGGTTGGGCCTGGGTCTTCCTCTGAACACCCAGCTGGACTGTGCCCTTCCCCAGGTTCCTCCACAGCCACCGGAGCTACACTCCCACTCCCTGTCAGCTGTTTGACCCCCCCTTCGGAATCAGATTCCAACAGGGGCATGACACACACATGCAAAATCAGCCAAGGGCTTACTTGGAGAGGCGCTCGCATGCACAGCTCCTCGGCGTAATACACCAGCACCTCCCAGGGGGCGCTCAGCTTTAAATAGTGGATGCTCTTGTGTTCGCTCCGGGTCTCCTCCTGTATGGGTGGATCAAGAAGAGAAGGAGGGCGGGGCACCCCAATTGAGAACTCCAGGAGCCCCGATTAAAACCCAACAAATCTGAATGACGACAAGAGAGGAGTTCGGCCCTCTGGCCAAATACTTGGATCAATTCCGTTTCAGTGCAAAGACACGTCGGAGTGGGATGTTATTTCCGCCAATGCCAACTGAGCCCAGACAGTCTCCGATGCCAACACGGCATTCTCTGTATTACTGCCACCCATGGGGGAGCGGGGCTTCCAAGCCCCAGAGGTGCTGCCCCCCCCCCCCCCGCCACCGACCTCACCTTCTCTACCACGAGGCCGGTGCTCCTCAGACTTTTGAGGAATTTCCGCTTCCATCTCTCGTGCCGCCCGTAGCGTTGGTCCCAGCCACCTCTTGCGCCCGCTGCTGCCTCACCCTGACGGTGCAGCTGTTTGGCACGCTTTTTCTTCGAGGGACGGGTTTTCTCCTCCCAAACCAGCACGAAGTCTGCAAAGCCAAGCAAACAGGTGTTTTTGAACCTTTGTCCAAAGACTTTCATAACAGGCTGCCTTGTTGTTGTTGTTGTTGTTGTTGTTGTTGTTGTTGCTTTGCTATTATTATTATTATTATTATTATTATTATTATTATTACAAACAGAATCGCAAGTCTTCTGAATTTTTCATGCAGTGATTTGCTCTGAGTTTTCCCTTTGCCATGGAAGCTGGTTCCCGGCTTAGTTTATCTTCGATATTTGGAAAAGAGCTCTTGGAGAGGAACCGCGTTTCACGAAGGATTCATGAAATCCCCTGGACGAACTAGCAAAAAAAAAAACTAACAACAACCCCTAACTCTGCTGGAATCTCATGCTGAGCGAGGATTCGGTTGGGACGGCCTCCCATCTCCTTCCCAGGTCTATCCATTTATGCCACCGAGAAATCGGACCTGCTCACCGATCTTGGTTTTCCCATCCCTGAAGTAATTTCCTCTGGGACTGTTGGAGGAATCATATCCGTCTCTGCTGTAAATGCAGACCGCGTCATCCTCTTCCACATCCTACCAATGAGAAGGTCAAGGGAGACCATACAGAGATATAGACAGAGAAGGACTGGGAAGCGTCGGGAGCCAGCTGGGGCTGTGGGTCAGGAAACATGGACCACCAAGCAGGAGACATTGGAGAGTATCGCTGCCCTCTTATTAGAGGACGGATTTTAAGAGATCTTAGCAGCTTGGACTACAAGTCTGGTGTGTCGTCCGTCCCCCCCATCTCTCTCTTCTGCTTGCTAAGTGCTACACCCCTGTTTTGGGGGTGATTGGTTGTGCCACACATCGCAGAGCGTGGTTTGGCATCCCAGAATGTATTGCCACGGCAAAGGATGCTCTCCTTTTCCTCTACGTGGAATCCATGGAGGCCGACACATCAATAATTTCAGTGTCCCAAATTCATTGCCGTTGGCTTCCTTTCCGCTGGCTTCCTTACAAGCAGGGGTGGGATTCTACTGGTTCTGTCCAGCTCTGTAGCTCTGAAGAGCAGCAGACATAGAACCAGTTCTATGTCTGCTGCTGTTTTGGCCCACCCGCCTGCCCTGGCTCTTACCTGACCTTCATTTCCTGCTTTTTCAACCTCAGCTGCCGTGCGAGGCACAGCTGCGGTGGAAAAAGCAGGAAAAAAGTGCTTTTTCAAACGCTGCTTCCCTGCACGCAGCGCTGCTCAGCTGTCCAGGCAGCAAGCTGATGAAGATTTACACACATGCGCGCAGCGTGCAGGGAAGCACATCGTAAATCACCGAACCGCTAGTTAACCCTGTCTGATCCCACCCCTGCTTACAAGCCCTCTAACTTTCTGGTTGTTTTTTTTTAATATGCATGACCAGAAATCGCCCGCCGTCAGCTTAATAAAGCTTTAAGGCGCTGCTGCGGGGGATTTGAATCTGCTCCCTGCTCTCTTGTGGGAACTTCCAAGGGGCCGCATCCTGAGGACTTGCACGCTTAAGAGTTTCACACCGAGCAGGAGCCAAAGCGCTTTTTCCCGCTTACTCCATCCCGACCAGATCCCACAGCCATTCCCTAAGCAGAAGTTTTTTTTTTTTTCTTTAACAAATCCCCAACAATATCTCTTAAATTCGTTTCTCTACCCCGTTAGCTACTTACGAAGCTACCGGTGGAGGCTCCATTTCGAACGGCTCCGTCGTCGCTCCCGGAGCATCCCTTGGCAGCGCCAAGCAGGAGGCTGGCATCGGCCGGGCTGAGAGCGGAGGCTTTCTTGCGGATCATGGCGCTTGGCAGCAGAGACCTGCTTGCTTCTTCCCGTCAGGTCTTGGCCATGAGTGTGGCAGAGGCCAGGGGAGGGGCTGCTGTGGTTGACAGGGGAGGGGCTGCCACCCTGCTTCCCAGCTCATCCCTGGTCTTGGACAGTGCCGTGGGGATGCCTGTGCAGCATCTTCTGGGAGCGGGGGAGGCAAAGCGCTGGTGTTGTCGTCCGAGTGGCCAAGACCAACGGTCACCTTGTTTGGCAAAGGGGGGGGGGGCAGCTCCAAGGCTCCCTCCCTCCCTGCCTGCCTGCCTTTCAGGGCAGGTCCCCCTTGCTGGTGCCTGCGTAGCTATGGAAATCGTCTAGAGCCGCTTTCCAGCTTCTCTTTCCCAGGCTGTCTTGTCTGCGGGGCTTGGTGGAGGAGGAGAGGAGGAGGAGGAGGAGGAGGAGGAGGAGGAGGAGGAGGAGGGGCCGCGCAGCAGCGGCAGGCCAGAAGCCAGCATGAAGGAATGGGCCAGCCAGTTTCTATGCCCGGGAGACGGAATGCCCTTCTGCTACGAGTGGTCAAGAAGGGCCTATGTGGCGATGCGCAGGGAGGTTTTCTCTCCTTTGGGTGTAAATGCAAGTGTGGGGTGATGAAGATGAGGGGGAGGCTTGAAAACCAAGCCCTGGATCCTCACCTTTTCAGCCAAATAATGACATAGAGTAGAATATAGAATAGGATAGAATGGAATGGAATAGGGAATAGGGAACAGGGAATAGAGTAGAGTAGAGTAGAGTAGAGTAGAGTAGAGTAGAGTAGAGTAGAGTAGAGTAGAATAGAATAGAATAGAATAGAATAGAATAGAATAGGGAATAGGAATAGAATAGAATAGAATAGAATAGAATAGAATAGAATAGAATAACAGAATAGTAACACAGTCTTACTAAATAGTTTGACAGCATTGAGGGAATTAATTGTTTAGCAGAGTGATGGAATTTGGGGGAAAAACTGTCCTTGTGTCTACTTGTTCTGGTGTACAGGGCTCTATAGCATTGCTTTGAGGGTAGGAGTTGAAAAAGTTTATGTCCAGGATGTGAGGGGTCTGTAGATATTTTCACAGCCCTCTTTTGGACTCGTGCACGATATACATGGAAGGCAGGTTGGTAGCAATTGTTTTTTCTGCAGTCCTAATTACTCTCTGGAGTCTGTGTCTGTCCTGTTGGGTTGCAGAACCAAACCAGGCGGTTATAGAGGTGCAGATGACAGACTCAATCATTCCTCCTCTGTAGAACTGGATCAGCAGCTCCTTGGGCAGCTTGAGCTTTCTGAGTTGGCGCAGAAAGAACCTTCTTTGTTGTGCTTTTTTGATGACGTTTTTGATGTTAGGCGTCCATTTTAGGTCTTGAGATATGATAGAATCTAGAAATGAGTGTGCCACAAACTGAATGCAAATACAATCAGACCTATTGTAATGGCTCCTATACACGTACAACCACAACTGAGCCCAATATTTATGTTGCTAAATGAAACATCCGTTAAATGAATTTTATTCCGTTTTTAATCACCTTTCTTGCTGCAGTGGCAAAGCGGATCACCGCGTCTGTTCAGTTGGTAACCCCGTTGTTAAGCAAATCTGGCTTCCCCGTTTTGGTTGTCAGGTCGCAAAAAGACATGACTCCGAGACACTGCAACGGTCATAAATATGAATCAGACGCCAAGTGTCCAAATTTGGATTAACATGACTGATGAGACGCTGCAACGGGTTTGTTAAGTGTGAAGAACGATCACGTGTCACTTTGTTCCCCCCAGTGACGTAGCTTTGAACGGTCTCTAAATGAACTGTTGTAAGCCGAGAACTATTTGTATATATGCACATTGGTGGAGACACGTCCAGCGTCTAAATTCAAAATCTTTATTAACTCACTTGCATGAAGATAATTCATTCCCCAACTTTAGACATATTAACATTAAATAATCCACTGTATATTTTAAAACGTATATATTTTAAGGTATCCTCCCCTAAAATCGCTAAGAATGACTTCCCAATATATATCTCATTTCATCTTCACTGATTTTGTGTACTGATTTTTTTTTTAACCATTGTGTAGGACAGAGCATTTGTTGGTTGAGATTTGGAGTTGCCAGCTGTTTGACCATTCAGACACATAATCAAGGTCACTTTGTTGGCCAGAGAGAATTCAGGGCTGAGAAGCCACCCAATTCCAAACAGATCAGAGCCTTAAATCTGGCATGAACCTGCAAAAATACTCTTCGGAACCCCACAAATTGGATCCATGGAGGCCTGCCCTCCCATGCTGCCTTCTGTCCCCCCCTGCCTCCTTGATGCATTTTTTTTTTTACCACCGAGGGAACCCAGAATTCAGCCCAAGCGGCTTCCCTGCCAGCAGATACAAAGATTGGGGTTTAAAGGCTATTAAGAACCATCCGTTTTATTGAAAGGAAGAAACCTATGCAGCAGAATTAGGATTTCACGGAGCCATGGCAGGGCTCGCCTCTCCGAGAACTAAGCCGGCCGCCACCTGGTCCTGCCTCCAGAGATGCTCGGCGAGGCTGTTCAAGAGATGGGCTACCTCGGCTAGGCCAGCGTATCCATCCGAGGGCTGCTCGCCAACGCTTTTGGCCCGCAAGATCGGCAAACCCCAGGTGTGGGAGAAAGCCGCCATGTCCGATTCCGTCACATCCGTGTGGGCAAACTGGTCAAACCTGGGGACAGCTGGTCAAGGAAGGTGAATGGCCAAGCACTAAGCAGGGGACCATCCACGCCAAACTCGGCCTGAGACGATTCTGGACTAGGCTACGGGGAACGGAGGCAGCTCCTCTTTAATCTTGGCAATGATTGTATTTGAATAGAGTGGGTTTTGAAAGGTTGTTCATGCTATTTCTTTGCTCAAGGACAGGCTGGCAGGAAGAAAAAAACAGGCATTGTGGGAAAGCGTAATATTTCTTAAAATGAAACTATCTTAAAAAGAGGCAGGCTGCCCCCACAAGGGCTCTTCCAATCTGTTGAGAAGCCCCTCAAAGCAAGGGTCCCCAACCTTGGCAACTAGAAGCCTGGTGGACTTCAACTCCCAGAATTCCCCAGCCAGTAAATTCCCCAAAGCTGGCTGGGGAATTCTGGGAGTTGAAGTCCACCAGGCTTCAAGGTTGCCAAGGTTGGAGACCAGTGGCGGGATTCAATATTTTTTTTTTACTACCAGTTCTCTGGGTGTGGCTTGGCTTGGTGGAACGTGACTTGGTGGGCATGGCAGGGGAAGGATATACGGCAAAATCCCCCTTTCCTCCCCACCCCACTAACCTGCTTTCCAGCTCTGTTCTCCTGGGCAGGGCAACCAAAGAACCAGCCAATCAGCTGGGACTCGGGAGGCAGGGAATAGATGGGGTTGGCGGGGCATTGGCCGGTTCTCCGAACTACTCAAAATTTCCGCTACCGGTTTTCCAGAACAGGTCAGAACCGGCTGAATACCACCTCTGTTAAAGGATACTTGGTGCCCACCACCATTTGGACCACATCCCTTTTTCCGTCTGTCACGCGGGAGATTTGGTGAGGGAGGTCGAGAAAGGACGCGCGATCCGTGAAGGAGAACAAGAAGAGGACGGCGTCCGCTTTCTCTCTGCAGGCCTGTGGGGAATGGAGGAAAAGTCGAGGGGGCTCCCATTCGCACCCCACCCAATCCCAGAATGCAACCTGGCACCTCTCCGCGGACCGACTCACGGGTAAAATGTGGTCAAACTTCCTCAGCACGGCTTCGCCACAGTCCCAGAAGGAGAACCTGAAGAAGAGCACCTTGGCACTCTCCCGCAGTTTTGCTGGCCAGTAGACGAGGCTGGTCTGGATCCCTGGGAAAAGAAGGAAGGAAGGAAGGAAAGAAAAGAAGGAAGGAAGGAAGGAAGGAAGGAAGGAAGGAAGGAAGGAAGGGAGGGAG